GGGGGGAGGAAGGATCCAGCCTGGTAAGTCAATTGTTCTTGGCAAAGACATGCAGCCTAAAGTGCTGAGCTTGGACTTCCATCCAGATTAGGAAAGTTTAGGCTTAACTAAAGCAAGAGGGTTAAAATCCAAAATTCCTAACTCCCGTATGGATCATATTTTTCAGATATTGATCCTTGATCCTTTTCCCCAGAGCTACAAAAGGAGGAATGCCAAACAGCATGAGCGGGCTCATCCGTATCTAATTTCAACAGGGCCTTAGATCCAGCTAATATTTTTCCCTTTTCTACCAAATTTGAACCTGGCATTCATCAACACCGGGACATGCTGCTATAAAACCAGAAAACGCTCTCTGTGCGTGCCCCCAAGCCCGGGAAGTGTTTTCCCCAGCTCCACCATGCTCTAGAAGTCCTTTCTTTGCTTCTTTCCCCTCATGGAGCAGGTTGGCTGCACAGGACCCCCTGAATGCGAATGCTGGTCTCCTTGGGTCCCAACAGGATCATCATCTCAGCAACACTGGGCCCGTCCTGAAATGGAAATGGCAGTTACTGCACAGGGAGGGGCAGGCGAGTGCAGTTCTCCCAAGCCAAACTCAGAACAGGGGAAGGAAGGAGACTTGCCTGCAGGCCACTGAGGGAGAGGCGGAGGAGCTTCATCATGCTGCTGTACCTGGTGCCACTTATCTGCTCGTGCAGCTGCCTCAGTTGCTGGCCAAGTTCTTCAGGTCTCTGAGTCACCGGCCCTTCCAGCAGCCTTCAGGAGGAGGACGAGATGACAGAGCAGGCTGAGGGACTGAACCAGAAGAGAAGCTGGCCCAGCCGGTCAACCACATCCGAGGACCTGGCCTTTCAGTGGAGCTAGAGGGGAGCGCCACAGGGCTCTTTCCAGGAAGCCTTGGGCAAATAGCACAAACGCTTGCTGAGGGATCCCACCTGACGCCCCACGGAGTGTCAAAGTGACTAAATCTGAATCCAGCAGGCATCTGGAGACAAATCGCATGGCACAAACTCAAGCTGCTTGCTTACCTGCCACCATTCTGGAAGTTAGTGAAACTTTCATTAAAATAATCACCAGAGAGATGTCATCACAACAGTTTGATTTTTTTTCCACATGGTGTTTGTACTCAAAGGGTGTATGAAATTTACCCAATGAAATTTACCCAGCAGGGGAAACGCTCATTTTCACATGAGGATGTTTATGAAAAAGGCAAGTAGGAATTTCTTCTCCCCAAATAGAGCAAGACTCCCCACCAAGACAGTGGCCAGTTTACCTGAGGACCACCCTTCCTATCTGGTCCGCCTCAGTGGAGAGAGCCTGCAGCTTCTCGGAAGGCACAGAAGGTCGGGTCCACAAGAAAGCATAGCTGGGGGACACCAAGTCCTTCAGGCGGCTAATGTGGCCCTAAAAGGAAGGAGGAATTCTGAGAAGCAGAGCCCAGGAGAGGGAGCCCCTGCCGCTTTCTCCCCACCGTGTGCTGCTCCCCTGGGCAGCATCCTTCAGCTGGTGCTCGGCTCAACTTGCCAAGTAAGCTCATCCTGACAGCACGCAAGCATCCCAGCCATGTGGCCAAACAGGTCTGACTTTCTAGCCAGGGAAGGAATTAAAAACCTTTTTATCCAAACTGCCCTTAACTTAGTATAGGACCAGCATGCACCCCCCGCCCCCCAAGACTTCACATCTACGGAGCCCTGTCACTTGGCCGGCATCCAGAGACTCCTCTGCTTCCGACTTACCCTCCTTAGCAGGAGCACCTGCTCGATGTAGCCCCTTTCAAGGACCCCCCTCTCTGGAAGCTGCTTTCCATAGACTTCCTCCACAGAGGCCTGGACCTCAGCCACAAGCTTCTGCCGGAGCCTCTCATCTCCAATCTGCTGGGCCAGGTGAACCCTAAGCAAAAGAAGGCACTCAATACAGGCCGAGGCGGAACGGGCCTCTTTGCAGAACGAAGCCACAGCAACCATTCACAAGAACACACCTCACTAAAACGGCCCACTACTCCAAACATCCACCCACCCCCGCACTGCAGCCCTCTTGTAATGCAGAGCCCATCCATTGCTTCCTGTCCTGCCTTCAGGTGCTGGTATATTGACACCCCCCCCTTCTTTGTGGCCGGCCCTCAGACTGCCCAATTTGGCCAGGTCATTTTCTGGATATGCTGACATCTTGGGGAAAGAAATTGTGATTCCCCCATTACCTCCCCAGTTGACTTCAAGCAGGAGGGGAAACGAATCACAATGGGGGCAGGGGGACCAGCCTCCAAAACAATGGAGAGGGAGCTAGAGAGCAACGGGAGATGTCTGCCTGCTCCTTCGTTTTCTCTACCTGTTGAATTCTGGTAGTTTCTTCAAATCCAGGAGGGCCGGGTGCCTTTCCACCCTGCTCAGATCAAACTCGTCAATCAGCTCCTTTAGCGTTCGTCCTAGTCTATTTTCTGCAAAACAGGTCAAGAAGCTGCTTGACTTCTACTCACAGATACTGGATTTCTACAAGGTATCACATTGATTTCTCCTACTTTGTCCACAGCCTCTTCTACCCGCCCATCCCTCCATCTCCAACCAAGGGGAGGACAACTATTCCCACCTCAACAGGCCTTTGTGGGACTGATGGTCAGCAAACAGACCCCCAGGATGGAGCCCAGGAAACCACTCAGAGGAGGAGGAGGAGGAGGAGAAGGGTCCAAGAGCAGGCCAGAAAGAGGGAGGGTACAAAGCGCTTGCTGAGGGAGTGGGATGGGATCACCGTCCTTCCTATACTGTCCAAGGCAACTTCATTACAGCCTCGGTGGCGCAGTGGTGAGTGCAGGCTACTTCTGCTGCCTGCCGGCTGCCTGCAATTTGGCAGTTCAAATCCCACCAGGCTCCAGATTGATTCAGCCTTCCCTCCTTCCGAGGTGGGTAAAATGAGGACCCAGGTTGCTGGGGGCAAGAAGCTGACTCTGCAAATTGCTTGACTATAAGGCACGGTAAAGCGGTATATAAGTCTAAGTGCCATTGCTATTACCTGCAAACCCTGAGCCAGTGTGTGTCATGAGATCCAGGAGGGTGCCCGGCAAGTAGCCATCTTGCGCAAACTCCTCCACAAAAACATGCCCTTGTCTCTTGGAGAGTTTGCTGCCATCTTCATTCAGGAGCAGTGGGAGGTGCCCAAACTGAGGCGGCTCCCAGCCAAAGGCCCTGTAGAGGAGGAGGTGTTTGGAAGTGGAGGTGAGCCATTCAGCTCCCCGCAGAACATGGCTGATCTCCATCAGGTGATCATCCACCACGTTGGCCAGGTGATAGGTTGGAAAGCCATCGCTCTTCAAGATCACTGGATCGCCTTCCACACTGGCCACCTCATGCCTGCTCCACCCATGGATTAGGTCGCAAAAAGGGTCCGACTGCTCTTCCAGGCGAAAACGCACCGCATAGTCAACACCTTGCGACACCTTCTCAGCAACCTCCTTGGGGTTTAGGTGACGACACCTGTTGTCATACCTACAGGGGAAAACAACATCAACTCTGCAAAACTAGAGTTACTCCCACTTAAATTAGCCGCCTCTTCCAGCCACAGGTGAAAAACTGGTCCCTGCAGATTTTACTCCGCTAGTCGTTGCTGACTTTAGGGGACCTCTGTTTCACCAACCACAGGAGAAAGCAAGAATCTTAAGTGTCTGATGCTAAAGTTTAGCCCCACTACATCAACGGTTCTCACCGTGGAGTTTGTTGTCTGCGCAGCGCTTCCTTCTTTAATAATTCCAGGCGCTGGGGTGTGCAGAAACAGTGGTAGGCCGCCCCTTTCTCAAGAAGCAGGTCTGTGTATTTCTTATATAGGTCACATCGTAGGGATTGTTGGTAAGGGGCAGCAGGGCCTCCCCGGCGAGGGCTCTCATCTGGCGGCAGGCCTGCAGGCAGGCAACAACTATGAGCGAGACAAAGGGATGACAAAAACCACAATCCGGCCCAATCCATTGGCAACACAGGCTCTGCCCCTCCACCCTCAAGCTAGAGAAGGGATCGAGTTGGGGGCACATCTGCTAGTATGTTAAAAGTCCCCCCATTTCATTCTCAGGAGGCTGGGGGACTAAAGGTTGATCACACTCCTAAGGTCTCTTTACCAAAAAGATTAGAGAGACTCTGGAAGAAGCAGCCACAAGTATCAACTGATGGCAAGACTTCAAGGAAGGCTACAAGCGTCCCGCAGGAACTTTCCCAACACCAAACAGGCTGATCAACAGCAGGAAAGATAGCTCTCTGTACTCCGGGCACCACTGCAGTGTGTTCAAAAATGCTGTACAGTTCCTATTGCTGGTGTGTGTGTGTGGGGGGGGGGGGTGTTAAACCTCCAACAGGACTAGAAACAGGGCCTGGATGAACCATTACTGCAGGGAGGTGTACTGAGCAAAGAGGAGGATCCACACTTGTTTCGACGGTGGCAGAACCTCTACCTCTAATATCCACAAAGTGGGTCTGGAACAGGGGCAGACCCCTTGCAGCCACGTGTAACCCCTCCCCCCCAACATTTCTCAGGCCCCTAGAGATGATGGGAGGGCCAACACACTGGCAGAAAAAGATTGCCAAAATGATGGCAAAAGACCCCCCCCCCCCAAAAAAAACCCAGACATACCTGATCCCCTTCAACAGGCTCTGGCCCTTACCTGCCCACTCCAGTGCATCTTCTATGCTTTGAGAGGCTGCCGATACCACCCGGCTTTGATCGGTGTCTTCCAGTCGAAGGATAAAGCTGCCTCGGTGTTTTCGGGCAAAAATATAGTTGTACAGAGCAGTCCGGAGCCCTCCCAAATGTAGAAACCCTGTTCAAAGTAGACAGCAGAGGAAATGGGCAGATCAGCATAATAATCCCTGTGAAGGGAGGCTAAGCAGTCAGTCAGTGACAGAGCGCTGGGGAG